GTGTGTGTGTGTGTGTGTGTGTGTGTGTGTGTGTGTGTGTGTGTGTGTGTGTGTGTGTGTGTGTGTGTGTGTGTGTGTGTGTGTGTGTGTGTGCGCGCGCGTGCATGGAGAGAAAGTAAGAGGGAGAGAGAAGAAAAAGTGTATAAAGTTTCCGTGTAACATTTGAGTGATGGGTTAATATATAAGCTACAATGCGCTTACTCTAAAGGAGACGTCAGGAACGGTGCCGCATCTAGAGGAGGGAGAGGAGTATCAGTTCCGCGTGCGCGCAGTCAACGAGCTGGGCGAGGGCGAGCCAAGCAAGCCCACAGACGCCATCATAGCTGAGAACCAGCCCGGTAGGTGGCGCCACTAACAAAACACGTTCCATTAGAAGTAGAATAGCAATACTGTTGAATAATGACACTGCTATTACAAATGCAATATATGTAATTATATATATATATATATACTAGCAGGACACCCGGCGTTGCCCGGGAAATAAAACACTCAGTTGGTGACCACTTGGTTGAAAGGAAAAGACCCCAAAAACTTCATGGTATAAGATGTTATATAAATGATTAAATATATATAATATATAAATATTATTAAATATACACATGATAGGTTATATAAATGTTATTACGTTACTATAGACACATGTATGTGTTGCGCTTGCAGCTAAGCCGCACATTGACGTGGGCACTATTAAGGACATTACGGTGAGGCACGGCCAGCCGTTCACCATCTCTGTACCGTTCACGGGATGGCCCGTACCAGAGGCCAGCTGGGAGCTCAACGACAAAGACGTGAAACTAGACGAGAGAATCACACCAGAGGTGCTTCTATAATTATTATTTATAATAAAATAAACAAATAACATAATAACATAAACAACAATAATAATAACAAAACATTAATAATGGTTTATGATAGTTACAATATTCTCAGTTCAGCAGTGAATTCACGAGAAACCTTCGTGCACACGATTAAATATACAAAAATAAGTTCAAGCTCAAAATCAAATAAGTCATGATTATTTGGTAAATAATATAGAAATTATTATAAGCAATAAATGCAAACAATTTATACAAGAACATTTCACGTGTGATAAAAAAAACTCGCTAGTTAGCCGTCTCACCTATTCAAATCACCGAATAGAAGTCATGCCCAGCATAAAAATTATATTTGTTAGTATTAGTTAGTAATAACAAAAATAATTGTTATTGTATTTAAAGGTGGTCGAAGGCATGGCAACCTATCACGTGACGAAGGCCAAACGCGATGACTCCGGCACGTACAAACTTACGCTGAAAAATCCGAACGGCACCGATTCTGTCAAGGTCAACGTAAATGTCCTGTGTAAGTAAATAGCGCATCCCCCCATGTTTGTGTCATAAGTGGAGGAAATGTTTCGTGTCACATTATTATACACATCTGGAAAATATATAATTACCTTATATTATAAATTCTGAACAAAATTGTACATTTTTGACAATATTGTGGCGTGGTGTTTGATTAGTTATATTATTCAATCACTTACATTATTGTTAGCATTATTTTTTAAGTGATTTATTACTATTTATCAAGTTCTTATTCTCTTAGCATAGTTAACCTCTTCAACCATACACATATATTCGTGGATTTCACGTGTTTGTATGTACTATATCACAGCACCGCCAGGAATGCCGAGAGGGCCACTGGAGGCGTCAAACGTGCAGGCCGATGGTCTCACGTTGAAATGGCAGGCTCCTAAAGACACCGGAGGCGCCGACATCACAAACTACATCGTGGAAAAGAAGGATCCTAAGAGGTAAGCATTATATCTGATGTGCAAGCGTTCGTGATGGATCTATGCGTTATTATTCTTACGTACGGCAGGGATTACTAAAAGGAGGTAGCTTGCCACAATGTCTTTTTTTATGTTAAAGGGACATGGCCTCCCTTGTCCCTCGTTCAGCCGCCTTCCTCTTCTACCGACTCGCAACTATCTTCCCTGCCGCCTTTCCTCACTCTCTCCTCTCTCTCTCTCTCTCTCTCTCTCTCTCTCTCTCTCTTTCTCTCTCTCTTTCTCTCTCTCTCTCTCTCTCTCTCTCTCTCTTTCTTGCCAAGCTATATTATGCAGTTTTCCGCAGTCTGTACTGAACCCCTAAAACGGTGCTCGCGCATGCCCAATATCTTCCGAAAAGAATTATATTTTGCGAAAATTATGCATTTATAATTGAGAGAAGGTATTCTAGCATGTATTTATACGATAACATTCGATCAGTAGATCGCTCTCCAGAAATAGAAAGAAGCCCTTGCGTGTAAGGTGCCCGCTGCATATACCAGTCAGTACACAATCTGTCTGTGTTAGTGTGTTAGCGCATGCGCAATATCTCACCAGAGGAAGTATATTTTGTGATGAATATGCATTTAATATGGTTAGGGGGTATCTCAGCATAGATGTATGTAATAAATTGTTATCAGTAGACCTGTGTTTATAAATAGGAGAGCGCCCTAGAGTGCAGGGTGCAAAACTCCTACTTCATCCCTTCCCGTCCTTCCCATTGTACAGAAGTTGACATTTGAATGGCACGAGCAAGACTTAGTGGGTGTTGTATGCTGACAATTAAAACGTCGTATAGCCGGCTTTGTTCGCTAAAGTTCTCATTCGCGGAAGAAGCGCTGACCCGATCTAAATGTGATTGCGTGCAAACGTAACTGCCAGACCCGGCTACATTTCTCACCTCTCATGTATCAGGTGTCATATGTAAGCCAAATAAACGTCGCGCGTCTTTGCTTCGAAATGTGTGACGTCGTGACCAGGTGTGTGACGTCAGCGCTCTGTTTGTTTCGTCACAGTGACGTGTGGCAGAAGGTGAGCAGCTTCGTGCCCGGCACCACGTGCAAGGTGCGCAACCTGCAGGAGGGAAAGCCGTACGAGTTCCGCGTCTGCGCAGAGAACCAGTACGGCGTCTCCGAACCACTGATGACGACGTCGCCCATTGTCGCCAAGAATCCGTTCGGTGAGTAAAGCCGTGGATGCCTACTTGTTTCTTATTGCTAGCTACTACGTCATCTGCATTGGTTATTTATGTTATGTTATTTATTTATTTATTTGTTTATATTTATTATATCTTAGCTTATAACTGTTATTAAGAGGTATAGTTTAATTTTAGTTACGTGAGGAAAGTTAGTATGTTATGCGAGTCCGTGTGGATGCTGGGGCTGTGAATAGTATAGCGGTTTATGCTGCCCATGAATATTTGCTTGAACATGAATATCTGTGCGTAGATGTGGGTTTAATAGCTGACATCATATATATGCAATGACATCTCATAGTTTCTGTCTGAATTAAGCACTCTAATGTCTTGCCATCTATGCTGCAGCGATTCCAAGAAACGCGGATTTATTTCTGTCTATCAATGTGGTACTGGTTTGTCGTATATAGGTAAACCAGGAGCGCCCAGCAAACCAGAGGCAACGAACAACACTGAGGATTCAATCAAGCTGAGCTGGGATCCTCCGCTGAAGGATGGAGGCAAGCCAGTGAGGGGATACGTTGTCGAACAACGCGAGAAAGGTTCTCCAAGATGGACCAAGGCCGTTATGGCGCAGGTAAGCAATATTCGATATTCGATTAATAATCTTTTATTATATACATACACACACCAGCGCGCGCACACACATACACACATACACAGACGCTCACACACATACACACATACACACACGCGCACACACACACGCACGCACGCACGCACGAACGCACACACACACGCGTAATATTCTTACTGATATATTCCCTTATCATAGTTTAAGTTGGCGCATCAGTATCAACATATTGTAACAGTTATACAGCATGTCACCTGTTACTTTTGACCTGTTAACGACACCTGCGACAATTAGTCTATTATATTAGTCTCTTATCTATCTCTAAAAAGTGACAAGTCGACTAGCCTTTCGTCATTATCCTAAAACCTTATAAACTTATTCCGGGGCTCTTCATTCTGCTCGTAGGTGCCCGGTACGGAGTGTGTGGTGCCGGGACTTACACCAGGGAAGGAATACGAGTTCAGAGTGGCGGCTGTCAACGATGCTGGCACGGGAGACTTCAGCGATGCGTCGGCATCTCTCGTGGCGCAACCTCCACCATGTATGTACCCTAACTAAGAACACGAACACTGTAGTGTGTGTAGTCTAAGGGGCTGTAGCCAGCGTGGGGTGGGGACAGTTTTCCCGACAAACGTAAATAATAATATTACATGGTCAATAGTTGGTCAATGGCAAATTGACCACATCCAAATTCCAGAACTCAAACCGCGGGTGGCTTTACCACCCCACCCAGAGGAAAAAAACGAGTTATATAGCTGCTTCCTTTTTTTGTATTCTTGATACTGTCAGATATGGAGTTTATAACCTGGCCACTTATATAATGTATTATTATATTAGTCTTAGTACTGTAGAATAATTTCATAGGCACTGTCACCACAAACCTCTTACATTGTTTATCGTGTTAAATATGTTATTTTGTATTTCTTCACCCTCCATGAAAGTGTCTGTCTATGTCTGTCTATGAAATGTCTATGTACGTTATCATGAACATATCTGTTTTTGCAATATATTTTATAATATTAGAAGTGCAAAAAATGAAAACAAATGCAATTTTATTCACACATAATATATATATATATATATATATATATATATATATTTATAATTAACTATAGACATTCATTACGTTATTGACACTATGTTACTAATGTTTAAAACGATCGTTTCCTGCAGTTGCTCCGAGAATTGATTGGGACATGATGCCGAGAGATGTGACTGTAAAAGCAGGCGAGCCATTCAAGATTAATGTTCCGTACAAAGGCTTCCCACCGCCGACTGCCACGTGGCTCAAGAGCGGAGAGGAGGTGAGTAGAAGGAGAAGCAGGCATATTAGGAGGAGGAGGAGGAGGAAGAGGAGGAGGAGGAGGACGAAGATGAAGATGAGAGGATGGGGAGGAGAGAGGAGGAGGAGAGTGAGGAGGGGTGAGGAGGAGGAGGAGGATGAGAAGGAGGAGGAGGAGGAGGAGGAGGAGGAAGGGGGAGGAGGAGAAGCAGGGGATACCAATAAGATAATATAATACAAAAGTTGATAATTAATGCTTAATAATTAATAACATAATATGAAACGCTAAAAGTAACCATAAAGTAACTGTCTCAATGCGAATTGTAATTATGTGCGAAATAGGTCAAGCCGGATGATAGGCTCACTATGAGCGTGGATCCAGAGGCAGCCCTACTTGAGTGCTCGAAGGCCAAGCGTGACGACAAGGGAACATACACGCTAAAACTGAAGAACGAAAAGGGAGAGGACACGGGCACGATCAATGTTACAGTCGTTGGTAAGTTTCCCCGTTACGAACATGTTTGATATACAAATATATTAACGTAATTATTGCAATTAGAGTAATAATATTATCATGATGAATCTACTTATTAAGTTGTCTCGTTACGCACCTACATATTCGTGCTTCTGTATAGCGTTTCATAATTACGATCTTTATAATTTATCGCTAACTTAGTGATCAGCTCGTCGAACACACAATACTAGATTTTGGCAGTGGATCTGCGTCCCGTAGAGACAGTCCATGCCTCCGTTTCGCATATGCTCAATAACTAACTACTATCTGTTGCTTTTGCTGTGGGATGTCTTTAAATTTCATTAACTAAATCGACATAAATTCTTGCGACAGACAAGCCAGCTAAACCTGGCGGACCTCTGGCGTGTTCTGAGATCACGCCGGAGTCGTGCACTCTCTCCTGGGATCCGCCGCCGGATGATGGCGGCATACCCGTAAGCAACTACGTCGTGGAGAAGCAAGATCTGGCTACAGGTAAGGATGCGCTTGTATTACGAAATTCCGAAACAGGTGTATGCCTAATTTATGTGCGAGATCTTTTATCTTTTGTTTATTTCTCCCTTTCCTCCTCCGCCGGCTCCTTCTTCTTCTCCCCTTCCCCCCTCATCCTCCTCCTCCTCCTCATCCTCATCCTCCTCACCCTTCTCTTTTTCTTCTTCTTCTTCTTCTTCTTCTTCTTTGTCGCTGTACACTGTACAATGTAATTGTACACTTAGTGTTTGTAAATTCCACAGTCTAATTGTGCACGTTATAACCGTGTTACAAACGTAATTGTGGGTGTTTAAATAAGATATCTAATGTAATATTTAAAGCAATACATAATACAATTAGGTAAAAGTGTTTTTTGTGTGTACTAATCTCTTCCCGTCTGAATCGTCTTGATTCGTGCAGGTAAATGGGAGAAGGTGACTAGTTTCTGCAGGCAGCCAGAGTACACCGTACACGGTCTGGAGGAAGGCCATCGCTACAAGTTCCGTGTGAGAGCAGAGAACGACATGGGCGTGTCGGATCCTCTCGAGTGCGAGGAACCAATCACAGCCAAGTACCAATTCAGTACGTACGACAGCGAATCCAATGCTATGGTAGGGGGTTAGCGTCCCGTAGAGACGGTCCAGGCCTACGATTTACACACGGGGTAGTGGCAGTGGATTTGCGTCTCGTAGAGACGATGCAGGCCTACACTTCACACACGGGGTGGGAGTGGATCAGCGTCTCATGCAGACGGTGCATGCCTACGCCTTACACACGGGGTTGTGGCAGTCGATCTGCGTCGCGTATAGACGGTCCAGATTAACACTCAACATACAGGGATAATAACAATGGATCTGCATCCCGTAGAGACGGTGCAGGCCTTCCCTTCCCTCTATAGTGTGTATACGATGCTAATGCACGTGTTAATGTCGCATTGCAGACGCCCCTGGTCAGCCAGGCGAGCCTAACATCGATAGCGTTGACTCTGACAGCGTTGATCTGAGCTGGGCCCGACCCAAGACCGACGGAGGCAACAAGATAGAAGGCTACGTCATCGAGGCACGGCAGGTCGGCGATCGGGAGTGGACCAAGGTCATTCCTCAGCTCACCAAGGATCTTAACTGCCATGGTAACTACTGCCACGCGATTATGTGTGTGTGTGTGACGAGAAAGGGGAACGGTTATTTTCGGGACGCGAGATCGGACTGTCTTTTTGTAATTAGCTAGGAGCGAGGAACTACCTGAAATGTTTGTCGTGATTGGAGAACAGCGGCGCTATGAGTTCAACTGGGATTTCATTTGATTGAGAACTAGGAAATTACGCAGTTTTTACCTAAGCCACTGGGAATACATCTCCTGTTTTCCCGTCGGTGATCATTATATTCATTATGAGACATAACATAGCTCACGTGTAGCGCACCTTTGTTGATCAAAACCCTTTGAATCGAGATTCTGCTTACAGCGTATAAGAATATTTAGTGAATTTAACATGGCATGATTGACAAGTAACTCCAGTTCACCATTGTTGTGAGCAAACGTTCCAAAAGACACTGCCACGCAACGAATTCCCCAAATTTGGCGCGCGCGCGCGTGAAAGAAACACGCGTAAACGGGGCGAGCTTAACCTACCTAGCAAAAAAATATATTCATAGATCCGTGGCTATCTTGTTCAGACTGATAGATCAGTTACAAGAATTATCCCTACGAGATTTTACGTAGTTAGTTGAGTAGAATACGAATAATTGGTAAATGTTTCCGCAGTGCCTAACCTGGAGACTGGCAAGGACTACGAGTTCAGAGTTACGGCACGCAATGCTGCTGGTAATGGCAAACCCAGCTCTCCATCAAAGACTGTCACCGTCAAGCCGAAATCAAGTACGCATGCCCGACTATTACACGACCAGTCTAACAGCGTGTTTGTCGCTTAACCACAAAGTTTTGTTATAGAATATAAAATATTACATGTTACAACGTATTATTATCATAAATAAATGATTTAATTATAAATGATTATCAATATTATAAATAAATAATTTATATGTAGAATTATTATTCCTTCATTATTTACGTTTTAGTATTATCATTTGTTAGTACGTAAGTCATTATATATAAACGTGTGACGAATCCGTTCCCGCCTTGTCTTGCAGAGACACCTGGTTGTCCAAGCATGCCGGATGTTGGCAAGGTTGGAAAGACCTATGCCGAGCTCTCATGGGACCCACCACGGGACGATGGAGGCAGCAGAATCACTGGTATGTGGACATCTTCGTATACTTTATCGTACACTATACTTACTAATCACATAGCTATCATGGCTAGAGGTTAACGTAGCCTGTTGCCAATTAATCTATATGCGATCTTGTACGTTATACATGTTACGGTTTTTGCTGTTGCTCAGTGGGAAAAACCTATTATAAGCACGTGTAGCGGGTGCGGGGTTCGAGTCTCGCAATTGTGACCGCTATTGTGAGCAAAGCACTATGCTCCGAGTCGATCATTTAGCCGATATCTGCAGTACATATATATAATAGGTATAAGATATCGTATATAGGTTTAGAGCGCCGACACAAGGTCAACAACAGCCTCACCCGCGTGTAAAAGCATGCAGCTTACCTGAACCCTATTACGTAAAATTAATCGCAGCAACACAGATACTGAAGTCAAACGCTGCGCGAATGGAGCCGAGAAAAGAAAAACAAAAAACGGACGTGCGACGAAATCGGTTCGTGATGTTTTCATTTACTTACAGGCTACATCGTTCAGAAGCGGCAGTATGGCAGCCCGGACTGGGTGAAGGCGAACGACTACACGGTGTTGGAACCTGCCTTTACGGCCACTCATCTACCAGAGGGCGCTGAGATGGAATTCCGCATCATCGCGCAGAACGCTGCGGGTGACAGTGAGCCTAGCAACGCCTGCTTCCCCGTCAAGGTCGTAGATACAGGTACGGCGCACCTTCTCACATCAATTCGTATTAATTACGTGACACTGCAGTTTGCATAATATACAGACAGGATGAGGATACGCGGCATCTTTCATTTCAATTCGTAATAATTACTGCAATCACACGGCAATTTGCATACCATACAGTCAGGATGCGTATACGCGGCATCTTTCACGTCAATGTTTAAGATAATTGCGTTCAGTCCAGCAGCGTTGGTTACGTGTTTTGTGCGCTCGTTTCAGCTGCTGCTAAACCGGAGATCGTGCGCAAACTGCTGAACACTAGCACGCCAACGGGACAGTCCATCAAGCTAGTCTGCGAGGCAGTTGGCAAACCAGTCCCCACCGCCAGATGGTAGGCACTACTCTGTCAATATACATACATATATATCATAATACATAAATATATAATAAGCATTGGTATCTCGCTCAGAGGGATAGGTAAATTGTCATAACAAGGAAGGATCCTGAAAAATAATGTAAAGGCACATCGTGCTTATTATATTAAGCATACGTTGATCCCTGGTACGTAGGTATAAGAGACAACCAAACTGCCGGGACAGATGTCTTTATATCTTTCGATCGACCTTAGAGCAACAATGACAGAGAATAACGTGGTTATCTCGCGCTCTCACTCAGACATTGTCAATTTATATCGTCGCTCACGAGGTAAAACTGCGCGCGTACTTTACAGTTTACTTTACGTTTACTTTTACTTTACGTGTTTACAGGTACAGAAACATTTCAGTTTATGTTACGCGTACTTTAACGTTTACGTTACAGGTACAGAAATGGCACCGAGCTGCACACGGGAGCGCACGCTAGGATGATGGAGGAGGATGGAGTGTTCACCTGCATCATCCCCAACGTGCACGAGAGCGACCGCGGAGAGTACCAATGCGCGGTGCGCAACGACAGCGGCACCGACACGACCGAATGCAAGGTCACCGTGCAGTGTAAGAACACGATATATAGTCATGCTAAATCATTTTTAGTTTCTGTCTGTTTTATCTCGTAATCGGTCGTGCAAAGCCTCTCTACAGTGTAAAATCGCGAAGTATTAACTCTGAAGCTTTTTGCTTTATTACTGTTTCATTCGTTTTGAGTCGCGCAAGGTCGTTGTGCAGTGTAAGAACACTTGAAATACTCGTTCTAACGTCTTTTACGTTCTCACTGTTTCACTCGTACTTAGTTGTAAAGATCGCCGTGCGGTGTAGGAGCACGAAATAGTTACGCTAAAACATTTTTATTTTCTTACTGTTTTACTTTATCTCAGTCATGCAAAATCACCATACAGTATATGAACGCCAAACCTCGCTCTAATGTCTTGTGCTCAACATTATAAGCAGCATATTTGCGGCGGGTATTTAATCAGTTCTTTTCCGCACAGCTCCCCCGAGGCTAGAGAAGGAGCCAGGCGACCAACTGATACCAGAAGGAGAGAATCACAAGGTGAAGGTTCCGTTCCGAGGTGATGGACCTTTCAGAGTCAAGCTGCTTAAGGACGGAAAGGAAGTCAAGGTACACAAAATTTACACATTTCATCTTACGATTTCTTACGCTTTGTTTGCAAATACTTATCTATAGTCGTGCATATAGGGATGAACAGTGCGAGAGTCAGTGCCTACTAATGTCTTATTTTATAGCGATATTCATCCGGATTATTTGACTCATTGCAATTAATATAATTTATTAAAATTACGACGTTGATTACAGGACAACGATGAAGACGTCAAAGTTGTTCCATTCGATGACTTTGTCAACATCAACTTCAAGGACGCTCCCAGAGATGTGTCTGGCAAATACAAGTTGGTCATTGAGAACGACAGTGGCACTTGCGATGCTGCCTTCAACGTCAAAGTGCAGGGTAGGCAATCCAGTGTACCACCTAGATGTTTGTCATTACACATTACGGCGACCATGTGCATTCTTGCCGACGATTAAGTGGAGTGATTCACAGGCAGCTCTGACCAATCAGCGTACGATAGAGGCGTTTTAAAAACGTTGCTTAACAACGAAATGTGGCAAACTCGACAAATTGCGTGTGCGCGTAAAATACAAGTATGAGCTGAGCTAAAAATAAATTACGATACAAAACACAAATATCACCATAGCCATACTGACAATAAGCGCACGTTAATCATTTGCCCCTGGATGTTTCAACCTAATTTATCGTTATGTGGCATACCCTTTCCCGCAAGACAATTGTTATAATAAGATAGGAGCATGAACATCTAGTTTTAAAATGATGATTATTCCGATAGGTGTGCTTGCATTATCTATCTTATCTATCTATCTATCTATCTATCTATCTATCTATCTATCTATCTATCTATCTATCTATCTATCTATCTATCTATCTATCTATCTATCTATCTATCTA